GGGTATAATGTACTGTACAGGTGTTTAGAGTATAATGTACTGTACAGGTGTTTAGAGTATAATGTACTGTACAGGTGTTTAGAGTATAATGTACTGTACAGGTGTTTAGGGTATAATGTACTGTACAGGTGTTTAGGGTATAATGTACTGTACAGGTGTTTAGGGTATAATGTACTGTACAGGTGTTTAGGGTATAATGTACTGTACAGGTGTTTAGGTATAATGTACTGTACCGGTGTTTAGGGTATAATGTACTGTACAGGTGTTTAAGAGTATAATGTACTGTACAGGTGTTTAGGGTATAATGTACTGTACCGGTGTTTAGGGTATAATGTACTGTACAGGTGTTTAGAGTATAATGTACTGTACAGGTGTTTAGGGTATAATGTACTGTACAGGTGTTTCAAGTATATGATATAGATGTATCATTTAAATTCAGATATTATTCACAAGCAAAAAATATAAATTGAGGTAAAAAGTGAAAAGTGAGTCCCACAGGAATGACGCCTTCAGTACACAAGAAGTTAGCATGTCCGGTACTACACTCGATCACCTTCACATAAATATAGATATTTCTCAGCTGTAAGAATCTAGACTAAGAGCATCGTCCCAGTGGCTGTTAGAACTCTGATTTATGCCACTGATACGACACCAATACGAGCACTCACCGGCGCCTGGAATTTTTTTCCCCTTCAAGCCACAATGACACGCTTATGAAAGATGCCCTCGACGAACGTTTACCCGCGTCTACCCGTACTGGCGTTATTTTTCGTGTCAGAGCCTTTGCCTACCACACACACACACACACACACACACACCACACACACACACACACACACACACACACCTTGGATTTGTTGCAAAAGTTTATTCTCAATGACCTTTCCTCTCTTGTTCAGATCCACTTTAACCATGAGCTGATCCTGACCAGACACAAACTATTACAATCACATAATGTAAAGAAAATTGAAAGAAAAAATAATAGTTATAGAGAGCAGACCTCCCCCTCCCCCCTCCCCCCTCCCCTCCTCCTCCCCCTTCCCCCCCACCCCCCAAGAAAAAAAAAAAACCAGATTTAGAGATGATATAATGTCTATTTGTTTTTTTTATCCTAGCGACAAGGTAAAAATGATTCCAGTTTGTTCATACGATAATAAATGTTAACCCATTAATACTTAAACAACATCTGGCTATTATTCCTTACTTCCTCCTCCTCCTCCTCCTCCCCCCCTCTTCCTCCCTTCTCCCTTCTTCTCTTCCTACTCCTCCCTTTCTTCCTTCTCTCATCTACTCTTCTCCCCTCCTCCTTTCTCTCATATCACCCAACTTTTCTCCCCTTCTCCTCTTTTCCCCTCATTTCTTCTCTTCTCTCCCTCTCCTCTTCCTTCCTCCTCCCCTCTTCTATCCCTTCTCTACCTCCTCTATACATACCCCCCCCACACACACTTACCCCCCTAAGTCCATTTGGTCGGGATTGGCTCATTCTCTGATTCTTTGCTAGGTGGCCACAGCTGATTGGCGAAAAAAACATCAATTTTAGAAGCACTTAATGGCATCAATTCCTTTCATGAAATGTCAGGAGGCAATCAGAGCGCCTCTCTTTAATCCCGTCAGCACCAAAACTTCTCTTGAGCGAACAATTTTTGACGGGGAGAGAGAGAGGAGATCGTTCGAGTTACTATGTTAACGAAAATCACTATGTTATATGGGAAGTGAAGGCACGTAAGCTTTTAAATACGTATAATTCTTACCTTTAATTCATATTGTGGATATCTTTTAATCAAGTCTTATGAGGTTGTCGGTATATTTTGGGGATTTAAGTTATTTTAGTTTGTTAGGAGAGATCTATGTTTTATTTAAGGGTTTTGGTCGATAGGGATGAGATGTCTCTATTAACCTGGAGTGGCTAGAGAGAGAGAGAGAGAGGTCAGACTAATTTTCGCGGTAATTTCGGGGCTGCATTTTAGTATCCGTATTTTTGTTTGTGGTAATTAAGGGTGGATGGCTTTTTCCTGCTACTCCAATTACTTACAATCACAATTTTCGTTCGAGATGAAGATTACTATTACCTGCCCGATGATATTTACCTCCTATAATATTACCATCCAGGCAGGAGTATTAATCCCCACGGGAGACTTATTTAATAAAATTTTCATTCTTCATCGTGTGCAAATACCGCTCTAAAATTTATTACGCTTCAATTATATCGAACAACCCCCCCGTCCCCCCCCTCCCGTGTGTGTGTGTGTGTGTGTGTGTGTGTGTGTGTGTGTGTGTTGTTTTCTATCTTATTTATTTTTTTATTCTGTACCGGATGAGTTTAGTGACCGGATGTTCGCAGGAGTTGAGGATACGAACGAATACCATGGAGCTGTGTTTACCTGCCGACGTGATAGAGGTCAAATTTAATATATCAGGTGTTTCTGATTGGTAGGGGTATACACAGGTTGTTGTAGGTCAGTTGTTAGTTGTCTGTGTCGAGTTCGTCATGGATTGGTCAATTTTGCTGATTGCTGTAACTGCCTTGATATTGTTATTATTATTGTTCTTTTGCTTAAGCTGTCACAGACTGTCAATTTGGGTGATGTTTGATGATGTAGCTGTCATGGGGGTGTCACTATTGTGTTTTTCTCTGCAGTTGTCATAAAGTGCCACTGTTCATATTTGTTACAGCTGTCATAAGGCTGTCTTTGCTGTTGGCTAACACTGTCATACTGGCATAGACTGTCAGTGATGCTGTTTACTGTGGCTGTCATAAGTTCATGTTGTTGTTATTTGCTAAGACTGTCATGTGATGGTTTTGTCGTGGTTTTCAGAGACTGTCAAAGGGTATTTAATATTGCTGCTGCTATTGTCTTTTGTCGGATCACCAGTATGGCTTTCGCCAGGGGGGATCGACTGGTGATCTGCTCTCCTACTGCACCCATCTTTGGTCATCCTCTCTTAGGGATTATGGGGAAACTTTCGTCGTGGCCCTCGACATCTCCAAAGCATTTGACAGGGTATGGCACAAGTCTTTGCTTTCTAAACTTCCCTCTTTTGGTTTCTCTCCCCCACTTTGTTCTCTAATCTCTAGCTTCCTTAAGAACCGATCCATGGCAGTTGTTGTCAAGGGATCGATCTCTAGCTCTTTCTCTACCAATAGTGGTGTCTCACAGGGTTCTGTTCTTTCACCTACTCTCTTCTTTCTTTTTATCAATGATTTACTTCACACTACAACTAATTCTATCCATTCTTACGCTGATGATTCTACTCTTCACTCTTCTTCAGATTTCCCCCCCCCTAATTCTCAAACTAGATCTGTTTCTAGAGCTGATATGATTACATCTAACAATGTGGATCTGTGAAGCATCTCCGAATGAGGAGGTAGAGACCTGGTTAAAGTCAATAGCAATAAAACGCAGTATTTACCAATTACACTTTCCAAAATAGAAGATTCCCGCCAATCACATTTCAGGACGCAATCATTCTGCCAAATTCTAAAATAGATTTGCTGGGCCTCACCATTTCCTCTAATATGTCATGGAAGCCACACATCAGCAACATTGCTAAAGCTGCCTCCCGAAAGCTGGGAATGCTGTACAGGTGCCGTAGCTACTTCACTCCTGAGCAGTTGCTTCAAGTATATAAGGGATTCACTCGTCCTAACTTGGAGTACTGCTCTCATATCTGGGGTGGCTCTTCTTCTGTCCAACTGTTAGATGGGGTGGAATCAAAGGCATTTCGTCTTGTTAACTCTCCTTCCCTTTCTCTTCGTCGCAATATTGCTTCACTCCCTCTCTTTTACAGGTACTTTAACGGGCAATGTTCGGTGGATTTGGCATCCTGTGTACCGCCGGCAAGGCCGTGGGCTCGTAACACACGTCTTGCCCGCGGTGCCCACCGTTTCTGTGTGGATGTCGGTCACACGAGAATAACCCATTATGGTACCTCCTTCTTTCCTCATACAGCCAAACTGAGGAATGCTCTGCCTTCTTCTGTGTTTCCATAACTCATACAATCTGTCTCACTATTATTTTTTTCGTCCCCCAGGGCCCGATGTGGGTCGATGACCTCTGCCCGGGTTGGCTATTCCTCATAAAAATAAATAAATAAAATAAAATAAATATGTATATAACCTAACCTAACCTTTAACATGGCTGCCATAAGGTAATATTAATATATTTTGATTTAGAAGTCGTTACCTGTCATTAATGGTGCTTTGAGTGCTGTTATAAGCTGTCATTACAGAAGGTTACAGCTGTAATTTTACATCAGGAAATCGGAAAACTACTTCCAACATGTTCAAGAAATATAAACGCTAAAGAAAGTTTGTAAGATGAACAGGTGTGGTAAAATTATGAGACAGGTGTGGTAAAATGATGAACAGATGTGGTAAAATGATGAACAGGTGTGATAGAGTGATAAGCAAGTGTTAAAAGAGGATAAGCACCTGGGTTAAGATAAAGAACAGATGTGGTAAGATGGTAACAGGTGTGGTAAAGGGATATTAGGATAGACAAGTGTGGTACTGTGGTAGGATGGTGGATAGGTGTAGGAGAATGATGGATAGGTGTGGTAGGATGATGGATAGGTGTGGTAGGATGATGGATAGGTGTGGTAGGATGATGGATAGGTGTGGTAGGATGATGGATAGGTGTGGTAGGATGATGGATAGGTGTGGTAGGATGATAGATAGGTATGGTAGGATGATGATAACGATGGCAATAACGGCAATGATGACGATGACGATGCTGATGATAAAGGTGACGATGAAGGCAGCGACGATGATGATGACGACGACGATGATGATGATGATGATGATGTTAATGACTATAATGATGATGACGACGATGGTGACGATGATGACGACGATGATGATGATAACGACGATAATGACGATGACGACGATGGTGACGATAATGACGGGGTGGCGGGTAAGGCAGGTGACAAGAAGCATTTACCCATAGCCAGTTTAACACTAATTTGGCCCAACCGGAAATACCGTCTGGGTTTTTGGGATGCACAGTCACCCACGCCCATTCCCCGCGCCCTCCACGCCTCACCCACGTCCCCCACGCCCTCTACGCCTCGCACACGCCACCCACGCCACACCTATGTCCCCCACGCTTCGTTCACGCCCTCCACGCTTCAACCACGCCCTCCATGCCTCACCCACGTCCCCCACGCTTCGTCCACGCCCTCCACGCCTCGCACACGCCATCCAGGCCTCGCTACGCCCTCCACGCCTTGTCCACATCCTCCACACTTCACCCACGCCGTCCACGCCTTGCATGCACTCCATCCAAGCCCACGCCCACCACGCCTCGTCCAAGTCATCCACGCCTCGCCCAAAACCCTCCACGCCCCACCCACGCCCCCCACGCCTCGTCCAAGCCCACTACACCACTATCACCCCATAACTATCTAAATCCCATCTGCGCCTTCAATACATAGACCACACACACACACGAACCCACACACACACCCGGCAGCCCACGGGGAGGGAAGGAGAGAAAGAGCGAGCGAAAGATCATGAGTACAAAGATCATTCTCAAAATCACATAACACAAACACTTCTCTCTCTCTCTCTCTCTCTCTCTCTCTCTCTCTCTCTCTCTCTCTCTCTCTCTCTCTCTCTCTCTCTCTGGATTAAAATTATATTTGGACCAGAATATATAAAATTAAGGGATATATTCCGTACAGATATATATATATATATATATATATATATATATATATATATATATATATATATATATATATATATATATATATATATATATATATATACTGTATATGAATTATAGGATTATATAAAATAAACCAATATATAATAAATTATACAACATTACGCCTTAAAGGAATATAATATTGATTTAGTTATCAATTGTATTAAACTATGTAAATTATATATACTTTAACCATCACCCGAATTGTGTCCAAATAATAAACCTTTTTAAACCATCGTTCTCAGAGTGTCCTAAACAAAGGCTATACTCGAGTGTCCTAAACAAAAGCTATACTCGAGTGTCCTAAACAAAAGCTATACTCGAGTGTCCTAAACAAAAGCTATACTCGAGTGTCCTAAACAAAAGCTATACTCGAGTGTCCTAAACAAAAGCTATACTCGAGTGTCCTAAACAAAAGCTATACTCGAGTGTCCTAAACAAAAGCTATACTCGAGTGTCCTAAACAAAAGCTATACTCAAGTGTCCTAAACAAAAGCTATACTCAAGTGTCCTTAAATAAACAAACGTTATATTCGTGTCCTAAAACCGGATATATTTATTACACAGTTACATATACGAGGTAGATTGCCTGCCAAGGGTGAGTTAATATGACGAAATATGACCTGGAAATAGATGACATTATGGATTTACAGTTCTTGAAGAGATTATATAAAATAGTCCTTATAGTCTGAGGTGAGTATGGGTTAATATGACAAAATATAACCTGGAAATAGTTAGCATCGGGGATTTCTCGTTATACAAGACACCCTGACTAAGTACGAGTTAAATATGATAAAATATGGCGTGAGAATAGTCAACTTCAGGTGAATATCGACTCATAAGATCTTTAATATATTAACACAAAAGAACTATTGAACGAAAGACTCTGTTACATTAATTTAACTTGAAGTATAAGGATTAATGAACATGATATAACCTAATATTATATGAGGTTAGGTTAGGTTAGGTTAAGTGAGAGTTTTTATATTTTGTTATGGAAGGTATTATAACGAAATATAATATTAAACTCTGTCTGTCTGTCTGTCTGTCTGTCTGTCTGTCTGTCTGTCTGTCTGTTTGTCTGTCTGTCTGTCTGTTTGTCTGTCTGTCTGTCTGTCTCTTCTCTCCTCTGTTTTTTCTCCTTTTTCGCCTCACTTTCTTATCTCTTTTCTCTTCACTTGTCCTCCATTTTCTTCCCATTTTGCTCTCTTTTCCTCATTTCTCTTCCCTACTGTTTTCTTCTCTCTCTACTTTATCTCTCCTCCTTTCCCTTCCTCTCTGTCTCTCTCCTCCTCTCTTTCTCCTAATTCCTTTTCTCTCACTTTTTTCACCCCTATCTCTTCTCATTATTCTTCTTCTCTCATTTTTTCCTCATTCCTCCTACCTTCTCTTCTCTCGTCTTCCCCCTTCTTACTTCCCATTCCCCTTCTCTCACCTTTTCATCATCCCCCTACCTTCCCATTCCCCTTCTCTCACCTCTTAATAATTCCTCCTACCTACACTTACCCCTTACCATAATCGAGTCAACACCTGTGCCAGTGTAACCTGGTACATGTTACAACACAGCGTCGCAGGTGTGCTGATATCTTGGGTGATCAGGTGAAGAGCCCCACACACACACACACACACACACACACACACACACACACACACACACACACACACACACACACACACCCCGTAGTCCAGCCATGGGTGTAATTCAAGGACCTTGTGGGCGTACCGACACTCGCCTCTGTCCGGCGACTTTGTCAGATTCCATTTTTGTCTCGCTTGAGTACGATGACAAAACCCCTGAGTATAACGAATTAATCCATTGATGAAGATATTTTATCCTCTTGAGTACATATAACACCAAAAAAACCTGAGTACACGGAGTTACCCCCAGCGAGTACAAAAAATTTAACACCATGAGTACGAAGATTTAAACCTTTGAGTACGAAGTATTAAACCCATTGAATATATATATAGATTTAACCCCTTGAGTAGGAAGACTTAACCACTTGAGTACGAAGACTTAACCACTTGAGTACAATGACTTAACCACTTGAGTACGAAGACTTAACCACTTGAGTACAATGACTTAACCACTTGAGTACGAAGACTTAACCACGTGAGTACAATGACTTAAACCTTTGAGTACAATGACTTATTTACCTGACCATCTTAATCCTTGACTTAGATGACAGTGTGTTGTAGAAACCTGATAAAAACACTGTATCTTTAAGAGGTATACTGTATGTCTCTCGTAGAGGTGATGACTTAGTGAGAGAGACGGAGAGAGACAGAGAATGAGAGAGACAGACGGACACAAGAGGTAAAAGCACGAGAGAGAAAGGAAGAGAAGAGTAGAGAGTAGAAAAGATGATAGAAAAAAAAGAGAGAAAGAAGGAAGAAGAAAAACTAGAAAACCGAAAGAGAATTAGAAGAAAAAGAGATGACAAGAGAGAAAGAGAAGAGAAGAGAAGAGAGATAGGTGGAAAGAGAAACCCAGGAAAAATAAAGATAAAGGGAGAATTTAAGGCAAAAGAGGTAGAGAACGATAGGTAGGCAGGTAGGCAGGCAGGCAGGCAGGCAGGCAGGTAGGCAGGCAGGCAGGTAGGTAGGTAGGTAGGTATAGGTGGGTGCTTGGGCGGACAGAAGAGAGAGAGAGAGAGAGAGGTCCAAATTACCTAGATCGCAGGAAATGGTTGTTATAATTACTCGATTAAGTGTGAACTGATTGGAGGAACCCCTTCGGTGTAACGACCCAAACTACCCCTGGGGGTAATTAAGTACGTAACAGCTGATTAGTGACGTGGTAGTTAAGGAGGTTTAACCGTTAAGGATAGTCCCTCGCTTCTCCCCTCCCTCCTTCCTTCACACTTAACCTCGCTCCTTCCTCCCTTTCCATCCTTCCTCTTTCTCCATCTATTCTTCCCTTCTCCATTCCTTCCCTCTCCCCCTCCCTCTTTCCCCCATTTCCATCCGTTCTGTCCTTCTTCATTCCTTTCCTCCTTCCTTTCTCCCTTCCAACTCTCCTCTCCTCCCTCCCTACTTTCCCACTCCATCCAATCCTTCCAGCTCTCTCTCTCTCTCTCTCTCTCTCTCTCTCTCTCTCTCTCTCCCTCTCTCTCTCTCTCTCTTAGTCTCTTGTATGCACCAGCAATAGCCAAGCGTCCCCTTGTTAATGTTCTGAAACACTATATTTAAAAATAATTATCGCGTGATTAGGTACTTTGGTAGTTAAGTAATTAGGTAGTAAAACAATTAGCGTTCAGTTGTTAGATAGGTAGGTAGTTGAATAGTTAGAAATTAAATTGATTAGTTAGTTTGGTACTGAGTTAATTAAATAGGTAGGTACTTATGTAGTTGGCTAATTGGGTTGTTAGATAGTTAGGGAGTTAAGTATTAAGATAGTTGATTTGGTTAAGGAGTTAGAGAGTTGATAGTTATGTATTCATTAGAGAGCAGGAACAGGCTAACCATCTCGTCAAAGGACCAATCGGGTAGTTAGTGAAGGTCAGGCGGGGTCAGGAAGTAAATAACAGCCGTGGGAATTGTGACAGTTCCCAGGGTGACTCTGCGTGTGTATGTGTGTGTGTGTGTGTGTGTGTGTGTGTGTGTGTGTGTGTGTGTGTGTGTGTGTGTGTGTGTGTGTGTGTGTGTGTGTGTGCCCTATAAAGACAACCATCACACATTCTACAGAAAGCGAATATAAATTAAGTATAAAACAAGAGATTTTCTGGAGATTTTAGAAGATATATATCTGCTTTAAACACTGTATCCTTCTACCTGTACCTGTATCTACCTGTACCTGTATCTCCACCTGTACCTGTATCTGCACTTATACCTATATCTGCACCTGTACCTTATCTACTTGTTCTTGCTTGTATCTGCACTTATACCTATATCTGTACCTGTACCTGTATCTGCACCTGTACCTGTATCTGCACCTGTACCTGTATCTGCACCTGTACCTGTATCTTGCACCTGTATCTGCACCTGTACTTGTATCTGCACCTGTACCTGTATGCACCTGTACCTTATCTCCACCTGTACCTGTATCTGCACCTGTACCTGTATCTGCACCTGTACCTGTATCTGCACCTGTACCTGTATCTGCACCTGCACCTGTATCTGCACCTCTTGTATCTGCCTGTACCACGCCTGTACTTATATCTGCACTTATACCTATATCTGTACCTGTACCTGTCTGCAGCTGTGCCTGTATCTGCACCTGTACTTATGCCCTGCCTCCTGCACCTGTACCTGTATCTGCCTGCCTGTCTACACCTGTACCTGTCTGCACCTGCCTTGTATCTGCACTTATACATATCTGTACTGTACCTGTACCTGTATCTCCACCTGTACCTGTATCTGCACCTGTACCTGTATCTGCCTGTACCTGTTGCACCTGTACCTGTCTGCCTGCACCTGTATCTGCCTGTACCTGTATCTGCTTATACCTATATCTGCACCTGTACCTGTATCTGCCTGTACTATTGTCCTGTATCACCTGTACCTGTATCTGCACTTATACCTATATCTGCACCTGTACTATCTGCAGCTGTACCTGTATCTCCACCTGTACCTGTATCTCCAGCTGTACCTGTCCCACCTGCACTGTCTACCTGTACCTGTATCTCCCACCTGTACCTGTATCTGCCTTGCATATCTCCTGTGCCTGTATGTTTGTATCTGTATCTGCA